CTAAATGATAGGTAGCAGTAAGCAGCCTTAAGTAGTCTCCCAGATCTCTCCCTTCTCATTTCTTTTCATGCTTAAGTAAGTTTAGTGGTTTCAACAGCCTGTGCAAATTGCTTCTATCTACAAGCTTCACTATAGAAACAACATAATCACTTGAACAGCAGCAAGGAGATACCAAAACATCTAAAACCCAAGGCATAATGGCTACCTCCCCAAACTTGCCAGTACAGTTGTGTTGGGGTCAACACAATGAATTACAATAGATTTATTCCTTTTTGTACTTCGTCAAACTGTAATAGTCCTGCATTCCTTAGTATTGCTTAGTCATCTGCTGTACCTCAGCATTTTAGTCCTCAACATAATCTTCATTTTAATCCAAATTTTCTTTTGGTTAATAGCAGTATATTCACTGCCATCACACTGAGGCTACTTCTTTATTATTTATTCCAAGTTACTTTTATTCCTTGTTCTGAGTCCAGGACAAAATGTCACACTCACATAAATATTCTGTATTTATAATAAGAAGTTTCCTAGGAACTAACCAAATAAGATTAGAAAGGATTATCTGAAGATCAATAACAACCAGGGCAGCTCTTCTCTTTTATCTCAACCGATTAATGATTCTCTGTAACTTCTGTTTAACTCTAACTGCAATATAGAGTCGAAAATATGCCTTCTCTCTTAACAATAAGCACCAGACACAGAATTCTGGTCCAAAACTGTGGAGGTATTTGTGCTTAAGGCCTCAAAAAAAAAAAAAAAAAAAGTGTTTTCAGCAGCTGAAGTTCAGGCAGAAGTAAAAAAGATTCTTCACCTCAGTTCACGATAAATAGAAGTTTCTAAGCAAAGATCTATCAGTGCAAAGAGAACTTGGACACTGAGATGTACAAAATGTACAGAAGGTGGTACTGGTTTAGAAATAAGTCTGCAAAGATAAAAAGCTGAAGACCCTGGAGGCACTGGTTCATTTGGTGTTGCTGACTGGGATCAGACAGGGAATCATTTCCCTCCAATAGCTGCCTGGGTGACACAGATTTCTTTATAACTGAGTAGCAACAAGAACCAATAATGCAGTTCTGTCTTTGTACCTTCATAGCCATGGTCTCTGAGTTTGTGAAGTGCTGCAAAATGGCCTGAAAATAATGAGAATGAACAGCAAGCAGAGAAGGGATGCTCCCACATACTTGCCAAAACCAGAATGACCCAATACAGAACTGTCTTTAAAAATAAAAGGGTGCATTAGTTTTCCCCTGCTTCCCTGTAGAAGGATACTTCTGTAGAAGCAGTTATTAAAACAAGCTGTAATACTACTTTTCAGAGTGTGGGAGGCCTCCATCCAGTCTCATGTGTCTCATCTCCAGATGATCCCGCTTTTGGGGAAGGAGGAAAGTCAGAGCATTGAGCTACGTGACAAGTATGAGCCCTGCTGTGTATGCATCACCTTAATCCCTTTGGGCTTGGTTGTTCCATTTGTAAAACAGGGATGGTTTTTACTGTCATGAGATATTGTGATGCAGTATACGAAGAATTTTAAATTACTGTGCAATGGATACAGTATGAGAATTTTAGACAGTGAATTACTTATTTTCCATTTTATGCTTTTCTCTTCCCTTGGGATTACACAGTAGCTAGGTTTAGTGTTCTCTCAGGAAGGATAAAGTATGGCTAAATGTTGGAAGATGCTTGAGAGGATTTTTTTCTACAGGTAAGGAGAACTCAGCTTGAAGCCTTACATGGCCATTGCCTGTTACTGTGACTTCCTTCCCTGAAAGTGGTGTTTAAGTCTGGGTGGAGAAAGGTTCCTGTGAACACCTTGTCTACTGTATTCGTAACAGCTTGAGTCCATGTTCTAGCCAGAGAACAACAGTTCTTTGGAAAAGTATAACAGTGTTGCTCACAGGTCTCCTTTATTATTTTTATAGTCCTTTCTTCCACTTAGTAACCCAGAAAGGTTGGAAACAGAGGCAATGATAGGCAGCTGTGTGACCATGTGGAGAAATAACAGTTTGTTTTAGAAAAACACTGTTTGCATTATGTCAGGTTACTATTCCTCCAGTGCACACACTGCACTCTCTTAAAAAATTTCAGTTACTTCCTTCTTTTATAGGAGTATTTGGAAAAGAGAAATGTGCTCATTTTTGTCACAGGAGAGCAAAGAGTATGATCTGAAATTAGGCCTGTTGAACATCACCAGGGATTGACTGAGCTGATCAAACACAGTCCCATGTGAGGCCAGTTCGGTGGCACATTGCCACATTGTTCCAGCAAGAACTGTGATCTGGAAACGCCTCCCTCACCTTACACCGAGCTAGGGAAGCCTAGCCCATCTGACCAGTCTCTCAGGCCAATACAAGGTCCCACCAGCTCCTTCTGGTGTGACTCTACACTTGAGAAGAGTTCACAGTGCTCAGGATTTGCAGACACATGGCGCTCAGTGTTGTGGAGAACCAGTGAGGAAGCTCCTTGTATCACGTTGTCTGGACATACACATTTGTCCCAAACAACCTCTGAGCTTTAAACGAACATTTTTGATCTTTATGTGGACTTTGACTTGTGTGTGCAGACACTGGAACTTCTTTTCAGAATGACTGCGAGCCATGAACATACCTTTGAGGAGAGTCCTACCAGCCAGCAATACAGCAAAGTGTGGTGGAGAGACCATATTCTGCCTTACAACAAATTCTGCTGTCGAGCTGTAGCACCGTCTGAAATCAGGGGAAGAAGACCTTTATAAAAAATAATCTTGAAACTGTCATGTCTCTAGCCCATCTGTTTTGCCCATCATGATAAGCAATTTATCCAGCATCTTGCCTTACTCATATCACCAGGAAAATCTCTGTTCTGTGCAGAGCGATCAGTTTCTTTTTCAAGACTCAGCTCAAAGTGCAAGGCTGTAAGCAAGAATATTGGGTACTCTGACTCATTCTCTTGGAGGGCTATTTTTATGATTGTTCTTCATGGAACTACTTCTTAAAACTCACAGTTAATGTTCTTAAATAATTTTCACAGCTTTCTGCTGAGCCATCTCAGCACAGTGGTTCTTGCCTCTGAGGTAAGAACCTTTCCCAGGTTCTGGGGAATTTAACTACCTTCCATCTCTGCAGTCTGTGAAACCAAACTATTGGCTGAATACCTCCTTCTTTTTCTTTACCTCAGTAAGTGGCTACAAGTCCATACAATTTAAAATTCAATCAATCTTGTCCTAACAGGATATACTTCTTGGATTTTAACCCATCTTCTACATAAAACAAGACACTGAATTCAGCTACAATAACTGCCTCATGTCAGAATCTTTGTCTCAGGAACCTCTTAATGAGCTCTTGTTATCACAAATTGCCCCTGAATATCTGTAATATCTTTTGTAGCTCCACAAATCTCACCACTTCCTGTCTCCTGCTTTCTTTACAATCCATTAGCATCCCTTAGCAGCCTCATTTGAACAATTAGACTTTACTGTTTCTAGAAATGCACAAGGAACCCCAGGTTCCACTATTAGATCTGTGTCTTTGAGAGACCTGGGAAAGGATTCACATGGTCCAATTTAACAGAGTTCAAATACCTCCCACAGTTCATGGTCCTCAGAGAAAGATTCAGTGCAGGTTGTTGGCCTGATGTGACTGGTAACTCCACCAGTCTCTGAATCACCCGCTTGGAGGTCCCCCATAAAGGTGCTTAAACTAAATGACTGATGTTACACAGTAAGACTCTACATCCTTTCCTCACGCTCCAGTTTTAAGTCTCCCTGGATAATCACTGCACACAACTTTGCCTTCTCTCTAGAGTTGCTGTGCTGGCAGCTTTTTGTTGTGCTTGTTTATGTTCAACATTAATGGCTTAAACTGCCCCATGTTTGCTGGATGTTCTCATTCAGATGCCTGATAATAGGCTCTCATTTACTTGTGAGTGTTTCAGCTACCAGCAGACAAACTCAAACTCATTAAGCCAAAGCCATTATGATGTTTCGCTGAAAGTGTTCTCGTGGATTAAAGGTTTGAGTGGCGCTGGAAGATGCTGACCCCCTGCAGAGGGTACGTCCATGGCCTCCATCCCTACGGAAATCAGCTCTAAAAGCAATGGTGTGGTGTGATGCAAACTGTTTTCTGAGCTTGTCTGGTTACTGTGTTTAAGGGCTCCTGAGAACAAACATATCAAAGATTTTATAGCTACAGAGAGCTCGTGCCTGAACACTAATGGGTACATTGGCAAGCAGATGTAACTTTGGTATTTCTTACTCTTTCCTAAAGACACGGAATCTTTTCTTTTGACATTTTGATAGATCAGCAGATTCTCATTCTACATTAAATTGCAGGCATGAATCTGAGAGATGATTAATGTATATGAAAGTATATTTCTTTTCACCTATATTTCTAATGTCTTTACTTTGTTGACTGTGTTTTATCTTGTAGAATAACATCCAGAAACAGGAAACCGTGTCCCCATTCAAGTCAATTGCAAAGCTCCCAGTGACAAAAGTAGCTCATTCATAAAGCTCTAAACACACCTTACTGTTTATTGTAACTTTAATTAATGAAATGTGCACAGGGGGAGCCAGACAGAGCAAAATCTCAACTCCAACCTTCACCTGGTCAGAAGTCTCTTTTGCTGAAACTATGTGCAGGTATAAAGTTCTTTTTTCTTATATCACATGGCAGAAATGGAGCCTGTGCCTTTCTGGGTGCAGGTTTTCATACCTTTCCTCACCAACTTCAAAGCCATGATGGAAGCAAATCTTTATTTACTTGTTTTGTGGTGTGGGGATTTTTTCCATAATAAAGATTTATTTCCTTGCTCCACTTCCTGCATTCCCTGCAGTGGCTTTCACCCTATAGACGTGATGTTCAGTAAGGACTGAATCACCTGCTGAAAATTGGACAAAATACTCTGGGCTTGAGCCACCAAAATGCTTGAAGTTGGTTATTTTCTGCCAGTCTTTCATGGTTTTGCTAAATTTTGCAAGTCACTGGGGTTAGGAGATGACAAATTCAGCCCAGATCCAAGGAAATGCCTTTGCAGACTTTATGCTGCTTGCTGAGGGAGCTCGCAGACTCTCGTCTACCAACACAGGCCAAATTCTCCCCGGGGGGCACTGCAAACTCAGTTAAAGTCGTTTAACTGCAGTTAAAAAGTTTCGGAAAAGCCCAGAACAGCCCCAGGCCGGGCGGCTCGGGACCCCGCTGTCCCAGCGGCGGCTCCGGGGACAGGCCGGGGTTAGCCCGGGGAACCCCCGCCCGCCTCCGGCCAGCCGCCGCCGCCGGGTCACGGTGCTGGAACCACGAAGCGGCTTTTGTTTGCTTTCCCTCTTTTCCCCGATTCCTCCTCCGAACTGACTGGCGGGCTCTAAGATCTCGGCCAAGAGGAGCTGCGGGCGGGCACCCCCCGCCCCCGCCCCGCCGGGTGCCGGCCCGGGGAGGCGCCGCTCCGCTCCGCTCCGCTCCGGGCGGCTCCCTTGGCTCGGCGCCGCGCCGGGGTCACGCCTGCCCGGGGCGCGGCGCTGGGCTTCGCCAGCCGCCCGCCCGCCGCACCGCAGCCCCATGTCCGCGCTCCCCGCCGGTGCCGACATCAAGAGGGCTCTGGAGAACAGCCCCGAGACCAACATCGAGGATGAGCTGCCCGACGGGCCGCCGCAGCCGCGGCCCAAGAACTACCTGCTCCTCAGCATCCTCGCCTGCTTCTGTCCCGCCTATCCCGTCAACATCGTCGCCTTCGTCTTCGCCGTCATGGTGAGTAGTAGCAAGCACCTCGCCGGCTGTCGAGCCACTTGCGGCTTGGGGGTTTGGCGGGGCTCTCCGCGCCGGCCCGGCCTCGGCTGCGATGTTCCCGGCCGGTCCCGCCTGGGACCTGCAGCGGCAAAGCGGGGCTAGGGGAGCCGTCAGGGTAACGGGCATCCAGCCGCCTTTTTAGCCACTTGTCCCTGGCGTGTGTGGACAAAGTTGGGTGAGACAGCGAGCCTGAGAGCATCAGCGGCTCAGCCAGGCTATCCACTTAGCTACCCCAGCATCAGATGCAAAATATGGAATGAAAGGCAGTTCAAATCCTGTTTTCAATATCGGGCTATATAAAGAAGGGGGGGGGGGGTATCCCAGTTAATGAGATTTGTTAAATCAGCTAACTTGCACACTGAATTGGACATAGTATCAATGTGTGAAAGTGGCAGTCGGGGAGCAGAAATCAGATTTGCAAAGGAACAGTTGTGGTTTCTAGTTCAGCTAATCAAATATGGTAGAAGTGCCTTTTTTGAGCCCAACACTAATTATTTGCTAGAATAATTCACGCAACGACAATGATTGTAGGTTGTTGGCAAAAACTCTTATAAAATTGAGTATCAAGTATATTGAGAGAACAGCCTTACTCCTACAAGCCATAATTGATTTGCATAGTTCTTAATAATCCAGCAATCCCATTAACTTCAAAAGGATTGTTAGAACAGAATCTTCTTTGAGTTAAAAGTTGCAGAGTCAGACCCAGACTTTTCTAATAGGATACATGATCAGTGTAATCAGTAATACTGCAATGTATTTCTGTTGTTCAGGAGCTGAAAAGGGTTTAAAACATGTTGTGTATTTTCATCCTTTTCTCTGACAGCCAGGCTGAAAAGGTAAGTAAAAAAATATAGTTGTTTTTGCAATTAAGTATGAGAATAATTGTATCTAAAATATACTAAAGCACACTCTTTTAAGACCAGTAAGATTGATCAGAAATCACACCTAAATATTGGGATACATGCCTTAAACTTGAAAATTACTTGAAGAAGCTGTTCCAAAGCCATCTTCACAACCTTTTTTGTCCAGATAAGTGTTAGCTGTGACTTTCTTTTTTTTTTTTCCTACGTGTTTATTTTCTTTGTTGTTAACTTAACTACACAATATGTGCTCTTTCTTGATATGAAAAGATTTGGTTCTGCTGGTACCCAGCATCCTTTCTGTCTGTGGACACTTAGGGTGCTATATAAAGTAATGAGAGCTGATGATCTGGGGCTGTGAGCATCTGTTCACTGTGACAGTGCTTTCACCAAAGCACTATGGCTGCACAGAAGTTAACTGCCAAGGACAGAATTTGGCCTCTAAAGATTTTTGCACCCCATATGGAGAAATCTCCACCCACTCCCTAGTTGAAGTTCATGCAGGCTTTTGGAGTCAGGCGTAAGTAACTGTCACCAGGGGGATATGTAGAAACCAGGGTGGGAAGAGCACTTCCTGAATGCTAAACAGTCTGTGCAGGTGTCAGCTGCCCACTCCCTTAAAGGGGGGAAACAAAACCCAAACCAATAATCTCCACTATATGCGAGTACCTTCTGTTTCAAAATCTTTCTTACCTAAAACCTCTCTTTTTCCAATAAAATAACATCTGACTTCTTTTCCACAGCCCGATTCCTCTGCCTTTTGGAGCTGCAACCTGTAATTGCTCCATTAACCTCAGCTCCAGGTTCTGCATTTTAACCTATGCTGGTTTTATTTCCACTTCTGCTGGGATCTACATCGTCCCTCTCTTTCTCAGCTTGTTTCCTAGAGTCGCTAAGGGTTAACACTGGTGTACAAGAGTGGGTTATTTTGTTTTCTTACAAGAAATGGAGATACTTTTATAGTCTGCAAATCTTGCCTGAGATCTTGTGTCAGAACAGGTAAAGACCCTTAAAAGTGGAGTTGTCTATAAATTTCAACTTCCTAGAACGGTCCTGGAAAGAAAAGTGCTGTTGGCTTCTAGAGGGCCATGGTTCAGCACCCTGTCTACCTGTGTTATGTCCTCTTTACATGCTCTCAATTCAGACAATGTTTTCACTCTAAAAGTAGAGTCTGGGCTCTAACACACTTCTGAATTAAATGACAGATTTGTCTTCAGTCTCTTCTGCTGTCCCATTTACAACTCCAGTACTGGTTTCCTCACTTCTTTCTCACTTTGGGGGCACAAATCTTAGCATTTCAGATCTTACCTCCTTGACTATACTTTTAGAATCAACCTCTCCCAAGTTCTCCCTATTGTGATAATAACCTTTTCTTGTTCCTTACCTCCTTTGTGAACGAAATCCATTTCTCATGACAGGGTTAAGAGAATAGCTAGTGGAATGGACGCTTAATGGCATCAGCGTGTTGATACATTGGCATTACAAGAGCAGCCCCCTCAAACTAGTTGCTGATCACTGGCAGGTGTGAGGATTGCTTGGCATTTTTAGCAAATGGAGATCTGTTTTCCCTAGGGTCCTGGCCAGCACTCCTGGCTGTAGGATCACTGTTCTCAATACTCCTCTGCAGTTCCAGCCAGATGCCATCAGTTCTCCTGCTTCCTGTTGCTTCCAGCAGCTGTATCGTGTTGCTGGACGATTAGTTGGCTCACTCAGCCCCAGAGGTGCCTCGCTTAGACTTTCCCTACTCTTTCTTACATAGGTGAGACCACAGACATCAGGGGCAGGAGTGTGGGGCAGGTACCACGCCAGCAGGCTCATGTGACAGAAGAGACCTCTGGTGTGAGGATGTGGCTAGGCAGTGTGTCACAGCTATTTGGCTCTTTATTTGCAGTGGTGTCTTTTCCCCCTGTTGTGAACCCAAAGAGCACCTAGCTGGCAGTGAACAGCCATGGTCTCTAAGACCTGGCTCAGGTGGACTGGCTGTATCTGACTCATGGAATCAGAGCTAGAGGGAGGCTGTGGGACAACTCTGAAAAATGAATCAGCACTGAGCTCTGATGTTTGAACAAACTTTGGCCTTTCTCAGTACACTGCCTTCCGTTGTCTTTATTTCAAAGATCTGTATGTCAGGCTAGTCATTTAATTCCGTAGGGCCTTAGATTTATAACAACTTCAGAAGAGTCTCTCAAAAGCTGTTTCTCCCTGATTGTTCGTTCCTAACTCCCTCTTTCTGTTGACACATTTCTGTTTAATCATTTGCATGTTTCAAACAGCATATGTGGTCAAATTGTGACAATCTTGGCTCATCTGCCTCTGATAGCAACAAGTTCTTTGACTGCCTTTGTTACCCTTTGATTCAGATGCCTTGTCTGCATATTAGTTTCCCTAAGCAGAGACAATGAGCAAGAAGGTAGTAGAAGTCATGGGACAACAAAGGATGGAACATGCTTTCTGAGGAGGTCACCTCTTCTAATTGGGATCCTAATTAGCCACATACAGTGTGTTGGCTTTGATCAGGTCAGTGACTAGCATAGTGACCAGTGTTCCTGTACAGCTGTACTTCTCATTAGTTAGAAGGTTTATTTGGAAAGTTTATTATTTATACAGCTTTTTTGAAGTAGCTTGTAGGTACCTGGGCATCTAACTACTTCAGGAGTATTAAACAACAAAGTTCAGCAGCTGTTCTTAAACATTTTTGCATGGCCCTTATCTTTGCAAGCCGGTAAGCTTCTCATCTGCAACACCACTTTCAACTTGTCCCCAGAGACACAGAAGTCCAGCTATTGCCTGCTGCTATGCAGCCTGCAGAGTAAACTCCCCTTTCATTGTATCCTGCTCATCACCTGCCTGTTTCATTTGCCAAAAAGCAGATATCAAGCCTGGTTCTGAATTGGTCCCTGAGTCCCCCCTCTTCTTTCTCTTTCACCATAAGTTATTCTCACAGTGAGGAGTAGTACTGAGCCAGCATGTCTCGTTCTTCCTTTGGTCTGAACTAGGGAGTGTGTCTCATTTCCAGGCACAGCCAAATAAGGTTTGTTACAGCCTGGATCATGGAAAGCCTAGAAAATGTTGATCAGAGAACCTCAGTCTGATCTGCCCAGATTTGTAAGAGATGTAGAGGAGGATTTCAGAAGTAATTCAGTATTCTTTTTGCTTTTGCCATAAATGGTGCTCTGGGAATGTGGAACAGAAAATACACATTAAAAGAGATTAATAGTTTGTAGCTAATTCAGGAAATTTCTGTTCATATGAGGTTAAGTTGCTTCATTGTTGAACTGAGACTATCTTTTATAAATAGATGTGTGTGAACCTGGTGAAGTCACTGAGATTGCTCAAGTAAATAAGCAGCTGCAGAACTGTGGCTTTAATTTAGTTTATGACTTCATAGTGAGCAAGTTAGCAGAAACCTGAGAAATCATATGGTATTAGACTGAAAATGGCTGAAATTTGTTTTAAAAGTTGGACAGCCCAAATGTCACACACAGATGCTGTATTCTGTGTATGTTGCTTAGCCCTTGGAAATGAGCAATGTAGCATTTAAGGCTTTAACAGTTAATGTTGTCTGTCTCTAACGCTAAAAACTGGAAGCTTGATCCAAGGGCCCTCTGATTTCAAAGAGCTTTGCATCAGACCCCAACCACTCCTCCAAACCTCTTATTTTTTCTTGAATGCTAAGTTATGCTATTTAATTTAAACCTCTTAATAAAGAAACTTTTGTCTCTTTCCTGTCTCTCCCAAATCCTCTGCTTTATCATTAATGCTGTTTTCCTCCTCTTCATCGTGTATTTGTATTAAAATAACATTATTTATTAAAGTGCACAGGGTGAATTATTTATGCAGTACCTGCAGAAATCACAGAGACATTCTCCAGACTTCCTAAATATATTAGTAAAATTGCACAGAAATTCAAGCTGGTGCTGTCATGTCTAGTGTACAACTCTGTCTCAGTCTTGAGACCACATGTATGGGGAACTGAGTTTAGAGTGTTTGCAAGACCACTCTCTAGATGTCATGCAAAGCGAGTCCTTTGATGGGTGGGGAGAACAAAGTACAGGACTGGGGTGTCAGTGGTGCTTCTCCATGTTTCTTCCTGTAGCCACAGTCACACTTATAGTTGCTGACAGAGGCAGAAGGAGAAGTCAGCATTCTCAAGACCAAACCAAGCCATGTTTCTTCTGTATTTTGAGAAAACCTAAGAAAGGTCTTTTCCTGTAGACAGGACTGCTGAAAACAGTGGAATAACTTAGATGAGAGGAACTGTGCCAGCCACCCTTTGTAACAGGATGCTCCACTGGTGAAGAATCAGAGGTGACATCATCTTATTTGACTATGTGTTTGTGTCTGCCTCCCCTTTCCATCTTTTCCGATTATAACCTTTAAGTCCACTATCCAACCTCAATGAAATTTGACAGCAGAGCATAGGTATTACTGATATCCTTTAGGGAAATAAAATAGAGAAATGTTTAGGCATGTATGCTTCCAGGAAGAGAAGAAATGTATCAGTTCTCTCTTTAAGAGCAAGAGTGCATCAGCAGCTTAGCCTTTCTTGGACACTAGAGAATAAGTACCTGCACTTATCCTTGAGATGCAATTCTAGGAATATAGGTTTCATTGCTTTGGGACTGTCTTGGCACGAGTGATCTTACTGCAGTGCTAACACCAAGGATGCATCTAGCCCATTAATTTTGTGTGCTCACTAATCAACAGAACACACAGAGATAATGTCCCTAATTATTTTTCTGCTTGGGGAAAAAAGGCTTTACAACAATGCTTGGTATGTTCTGCAGTTCATTTCTTTCCTGCTCTCCACCGTATCAGATCTTCACACTGTTGAATAGCTGTTGTTCTGTCTTTGCTACAAGAAGTGATTCGTAACTAAAGCACTTTCGTAATACCACTTGGTGATACCTCATGCAGTCATTTTCTAAAGACAATCTGAATTATTTAGTCCACAGAACAGTTCATTTGATCAGGTCCCTGTATTTCTCCCCCCGCACCTCATGTTTCTGGGATACTACTTGAAACACTTATACTAAAGAACAGGTTATGACTAACCTAATTCCCCAAGGAAGTGTGCTGAGATAGTTCAATAGTGCAAGCTGATAAAGAAATATGGACTCAGTGTCGTAGTTTGTGAACTCAAATTCTCTCAATCTTACAAAATAATTCTTAGTAATAATACTCTTTTCAAAAATTCTTTGTTAGCATCTTATTCTTGGGAAAAAGTTACTATAAACTCATGTACTAATTGTGTTAACTCATGTACTAGAATATTTCAGTGTCCTTCACTGAATATTTTCTTTCAAAAATATGGTCTCGTTAAAACAAAAATTAATTCAGAAAAGCCTACAGTCTGTCTCACAACAGACTAGAAGATCACAGTGGTCCTATCACACCTTGCAATCTTTGCATGTAGTGAATATAAAACATTTGCCAAATCATGGGTGGATAGAGATAAACTCAAGTCTGTTGAGCTAATATCTGTATGTCTGATGCATACCTCAGGATGTATATGATAATAATTACCAGTGCATACCAAAAATGCAAAGGGACAGAATTTCTAGCCCATGAAGATGGCACTCAGATGTTTTGTTCGGATGATCTATATTTATTTGTTTTTTTTTTTTTTTTCCACCGCCAGCAAACCTACCTAATAATTCTTGAAACTTTGTTTTGAAAAGTAAGACATTGGAAAAATAGGAAATTAGTAAACTTTTATTAAGAAGTTTTCCTGAGGCTTTCTGTAAAAACAGCCTATTTGTGCTCCTTTTCATGCTTACGATCCTACAAAGCATAAGAGTTTATTTCACTGTTAGTGAAGTGGCCAACTAATAATTCACATATACTATAAAAATATTTCCAGAGGTAAAAACCACTGATTTATGTGGGTGGATTAGAGTTGATTTGACAGCTTTTATGTTGGTGTTTACAAGAAAACTCATCATGTGAATATAGCCTCACCACTGAAAATAAAAGAGCTGTAGTTGCAATGAAGTGTTCAGTGAGTTGAACAGAAAACTGGACTTCCTGCTTACCTTGAACTGTTGGCGGTGGATCTTTGTTTTTACATGTTCATAGAGTTTACTCGAAAGCAGTCACATTGGTTTGTATACAGATTTCTGTTTAAAAAAAAAGTCACAAATTCTCTGTTTCTCTTCTGCAGGCTTTAAACAGTTATAATCAAGGAGATATAGAAGGGTCAAAAAGACTGGGTCGCAATGCTCTCTGGGTTGCTGTTGCGTCAATTATCATTGGCCTTGTCATCATTGGAATCTATTGCGTAGTTCATTTCACAACGGTAAGCAAAATGCTAATAGTTCCAATGCAACCAGTTCTTCTCTGAGCACGAGCTTCAGAATAAGAAACTAAAGATTGTCAGAACTGCCTACTAATATTAAAATGTAGGGATGCATGTGTTTTCCAAAATACCAAGTTTTACTTATTTTGCAATTTAGAAAATTCTGTTGTCTGTGGTTAAATGCAAACAACTGTGTTTTAACAGCAGTGCATTTTCTAGAAACTCTTGCAGCTTCCATGGGTTTCCAATTTAGGCCAGTTGCTTTTTGTTTTTTTCTCCTCAGTTTCACCATCTATAAGACCAAGTGCATAGAGATCCTTAGATTTCAGGTAATAGAGTCCCCAGCTGCTAATTTTCAGTCTTATAATCTGTCCAACAGAACTTTTAACTTTGCAAGGAGAAGACAACAGACAGTAACTACTTTACTGTTTGATAATAAGGTGACTATAACTATATCAAAAGTGACCATAAATATAATTTTGACTTGGCTTGCTGTGTTATAAGCTCATTCACTCCCAGCGCTGTATAACTGACCTGCCTCTGTATGCCTGGGACAACAGTGAAGAAGCCCAACAAATGAATCTCTGTATACACAGTGGTTACCCAGATGGATTATAAGCTTATTTGGAAAAGAGGACAAAAGTAATCAGGGTGTTGATATCCTTTCTTAAGATTGTGCCACAATATGTTCTTTGCTCCATAGTAGTGTGCACTTCCCATTAAAATTACCAGTTTAAATCAATTTATTATTGGCTGTTTTATTTGGTGAGCCTGTCAGTGCACTGTACAAACTTATGTATAAACTATAAACAGAGATCACCTCATCCACCACTGAAATGCAGACATCTCTGGCGAGTGGAATGGTGTTGCTGTTTAAACATGTACAACATGTTCAGACAAAAACTTGAAGTACACCATATTGAACAGCAAGGAATTCACTGGGGATGGGGTCCATTTCGGTAGGATGTTAGTGGATGGTGCCACAGAATCAGAAACTTACTGTATACTCAATAATTTCCCATGTATTTTTCAAGCATGAATCTCTCTTTGGTTTAGCTTGTGTTCAGTTTGCTCAGCCCTCAGATTTAAAACCAAGTCATTTCAGGCAGGGAGTGCCAAGTTTTGTAATTGACAGCAGCAGTAAATTCCTGTGCTCGCTTCTACTACCTTACTCATCATTTCTCAGACACGGATAGCAGCTCAATATTTTTTTTTAAGTAGGAGAGAAGGGCAGCATGAGTGGCAGACAACACTGACCTGAAGCATTCACGTTAACCAGGGCACACTACCTACATTTAGTTGTAGTCAACATTTCACTTTTGCTACAGTAGGACCCTGTGTGCTGAATGTGTCAATGCTTCTTTGTGCCCATTGCCAAATATTAGTGGTAGTTAGCACTTTGCATCTAGCTAGTATTTGTAAGCACCTCTCTCTCTCCTACCCTCAAGGAAGTAAACAGCAGTAAATCAGTGTAATACGACCTTATAAGGTTTTTTGTAAGTTTTGTCTTTTGAAATTTTTTTTTAATTGGGTTTGGGTTTGGGTTTTTTTAAAGAGAAAAATCTCTGTGTTAGATGGAAGCATTGCCAGCTGCCTGGGAACCCTCAGCACACTGCTGGGATATTAATTTCTGTATTTGGTGAATAGTTTCTATAGAGATCTCTTGGCCAGATGGTAGCTTGAGTACTGTGAGGACTCAAGGTTTACTGGATTCAACCTGCTCTCTGGCTTTCCAGTCTCTTTACTACTCCCCTTCTCCCTCTCACCTGTCACCCTTCAAAGAGCCCTTGCTCCTAAGAAAGTGTTCAATGGGAACAACAATCTTCTTTATTCTTCTGATGTGAAAATGAGTGAACAGGAGCACCCAACTGGCCTTTCCATCCTCCATGCTTACCTGAGTCCCCTTTGTTGCCTTACTCTTGGATGTTTGTATTTTACACTAAATTGTCTTGGAGTTTGACATGCCACTGGTGTGGATGGCATTGCATGCTCTGTGCAGTTATCTCAGATCCATTTGTACCTCGGTCATGATTATTTACTAACAGCCACTTTGCACTCTGCTAATGTGAAGTGATTGTAAATTACTTCCATGCTAACTTTAATATATATGCTTCAATATTAGTAAGATAGTACAAAATAACCTTAATAGAATAATATGACAGTCAGCCCTGTAACCATTTGATTACCATGAGGCACAGATCTGATGTCACCCTCCTTCTGAAGCTCCATCTGGGTCAAGGCGTCTGATATGCCAGGCAGTTGCTCCAGCAGTTTCGGGGACAGTGCCCTGTGGCTTATCACCACCACTGTTGCTCACTGCCAAGCAGTCCCTTGCTGTCTTCAGCAGAGTTTTTGGGTATCCTTCTGTGCAAACTCACAACTTAATTGCTAAAACCCCTCTTTGCCACTCCTGAACATCTCTCATTGTGAATTGAGCACTGAAATACTTCCTCATCTCTGGACACAGATTCCTTCAGCATTCACTGGAACATAATTTCCTCTTTATGAATGGTATTTCTAGATGACCAGTTCAATGAGATCAGTGCCTAGCTTGATGAATTTCAGTAGCCTCTGAGTATCAAAACCTATATGCCCTATTAAAAATTCCAACCAAAGTTATCCATTTGTTTCCACATCTCTTCTGGCTTTTCAGTACCCAAACCTATTGTGTGTTCCCTCTTGCTTAGGAAAGGGGTTAAGTCCTGTGCTTTAAGCAGAGCTGAGGAGGGCTCCCATAGTACTCCACATGCCTCAACCAAGAGAAAAACATCTAGTCATGGGTGTTGAGGGTAGAAATGGTAGTAGAAGCTACAGAGAGAGGAAGTACAAGATATTCCAGCTTTGAACAAACAGTGACATACCCCTGGTTATACCCCCCCAATAATACTGGTAGACTTGGGAAGAGGAAGACCCTTTCACTTTTCAGAAAATTCCTACCTCTGGACCTGGAGCTTTGGTTTATTCAGTTACAGAGTAACAGTAGCACAGGAATAGCACCAGGCGACACTTACATCTGCATGGAAGAAACAGCCTTGACTTTTCATTTTGAAGATGTACTCAGTGCTGAGCCAACTCAGGGCTTCTAATGTTGCCTTAGAGAGCCTTGTTTGTCTTTAACACTGGCATGTTATTTTTAGCAAACATAAATTAAGATATATAGGGAGATAGATATATATAGATAGATATATAGAGAGATACATATATATCCTGGAACAAGGCCCACCCAACACTCGGGAATCATCTACCTTCTGCAGTCATGACCCTGAATGTAGACAAGGGGAAACCGTCACTTGCATCACTGGATTTAACAGCCCAGCAATAAAACTTGTCTGTCTTGATCAATGTAAACTAGGGTGTTCCTCATTATGCTGAGGAATCACTGAGTGTTAAGCTGTGGTGTGTGCTGAATCAGGGCTGTCCCTCATTCCACACAAGGCCAAAATTATTCTTACTCCATTCTGTAGCTTTTACCCTGTCCTGTTGGCTTCTCCTGCACTCCTACCTTGCCAGTCCTGAATGCTGAATTACACTTCCACTGCTTGATCAGATGTAACTTAAACCAGTATTTGTATCACCACTGAGCCGAGCCCTGTGTATGTGCCCATCGTCATGTTGTCCACCAAGAACTGCAGTGAGAAGATGGATATGTTTGTCTTCCATAAGGAGACATCACTACGAACTGAAACAGCGCAGAGCTGGGTGCACGTGGCCCTCCTCTGTTGTAATATGCCTGGTTAGAGAGTGAATGGCAAGGCACCTAATGACAGGCAACACACAGCTGTGAACCACATCCCGAATCCTGCCTCTAGTTCTGATGTCTTTGTCTTAAGAAAGATGTGGTGTATAAACACACACACACACAAAATAAAAAGAAAGAAGAGCCCCAAGGTATGAAAAAATCTTTATATGTGGACAGACAAAATAGAAAGACTTAGGAACTGGTTGTTAAAGGCAGTGAGGTAAAGAGTGATCATTTGTTGTCTATTACAAATAAGATGAAGGGGGGTCAGAGGAAAGCAGCTTTAAACAAGGAGGAGGTACTTTTCCATTTGACACAACAATGCAGCTGTGGGACTTACTCCTTCTGGTTGCTGTGGATACAAAAATTACAAATTATTTTAAGCAGTAGCAAGTGGAGTTACAAAAAGAGCTTAAATGCAAAAATGCAGATACAATCTCAGGCTCAGAATGTTTCTAAACTGCTGATTGCTAGAGCTGGAAGGCAATAAATAGAGAAACATCACCCTGAACATAGCCTTTTCTTAATGCGCTCCTTTAGGCGTTTGTAACATGTCACTGTTAGAGGTGGGATGCTGCAAAGCTGGCTTCTTGCTCTGACCTAGTAGCACTATTCTTACATTCCATCATGAAGCTTTTAGTAGCCTTTCCACTGACTTGAATGGATTTGGAGTCAGCTTTCCTGTCTCTTCCTAAACATTTTGATCAGGTAAAGCTAATAATTGTGTCAGTCGATATGAAGGCTCTCCAGTAGTTCATGGTCTGTGTTTTCAGAGCAGTCTCAAAATTTTTGGAGCAGATTCCAAATTCTGTTTTGTTTTGCTTTTTGATAACACCAGATGTTTGTTGTCTTTGGATTTTATTTGAGTCCTACTGGCAGGATTTAGGGAAACATAATCCTGGGCTGGAACCTCCTCACTTAAGTGAAGGAGACCCCATGTATCCCAAACCCTTTTCTTAACTGGATTGAAGTATGTCATATTCACTTCAAGCTACCATGGGAATCATGCATTCTTATTCCATTGCTGGGTTTGCTGCATAGCCTGTTAGTAGTCTGAAACAACATGCAGCTTCTTACAGTGCGTACTTTTAGACTGTCTCTAGTGTCTGAGTGACATTTGACAATGCTGCTCAGGGCAGAACCAGAGCTCACGTGAGTTTTGCATCTCAATTGAGCCACAAAGAATATCATATAAAGCCCTTGTCTTTTGTGTACCTCTCTAGTGGTTCTCTGCAGCCTAGACAAGTAAGAGTGAGTCAAGCAGAAATGTGGAGAACTAGGAAGAGGTGTTAGAGTGAACTAGACATAAGCTTTTGTAGAGCTCTGACTGAGATAGTGACAATTTTGGTACGAGGAAGGGTAGCCAAAGTACTGAAGGAAAGGAATGCAGGAAACTCCTGCCAATGGAACAGTGTCCAAGGCTTTTTAAATTCACATCAGAAGTTCATTGTCTCTGTTTATCTTGAACCCCAGGGCCACCGGAAGGGTAGAATTATCTTCTGGTAATAACTTATGTGAGAAGCGTTGTTGTGTTCAGTGACTTTGGAATTTCATGCAAACCATTATGATATTTTAATGCTTTTGTAGAGGAGTGTGAACTTCTGAACCCTTCTTTAATCTCACTTGATCTAGAACTTCACCCCATGGGAGTCACAGAAATACCACCTGTCAGCATGGCTTCGAAGGAAGACAGAGACACAGCCAGGCTGTGTGGAAAGTACTAGCTTATACTGTTTCATAATCAGTAGGGTCTTAAATCAAGCATATGTGCAGTAATGCAACATCGGTAATTACTGCTAGAAGGAAAAGGAGTAAGAATTTAGACTGTGCATGAGGGACAGTTGTATACAAACATTTTTCTCACTAACTTAGAAATAATTATTGAGGGGGAAAAGGTGTGCAAGGTGATTTTTAATATCTCTGCTGTCCCCTTCCCAAGGCTCTCAAAAGCCTTTGTAGGCTGTCTCTTTCAGAGACAGAATAAACTGAGGGGCCAGTAAGATGACAGGAATTATGCAGCCAGCCTTCAGATCTTTACATTGCCAATCCCATTCTCCATACCTTACCACAGAAAAAAATAGAGTCAAGGAAGACTACCTGCCTTTCACTGCAGGGATTGACCTGCCAGTAACTGATAGAGCGCAAAGTCTGAAGTCAGGGCATTCCTGTTGTCTTTCACCCACATTAATTCTTGGTGTCCACCTAGCCAGTGAGCTCATACTGCTGCTTTTCTATCAGTAAGGGCACTAACTGATTATGTCCTTGCATCCCTATCTCTTTTTACTGGATTTGTAAAAATATAAGAGCTTAAAGTCCTCTGCCTGTGTATCAAATCTGTTCAGTCAGCTCAGGGGCTGAATAGTGGGCAGACACACATAGATGCACAGAGGCAATGTGATTACATCAGCCTTGTTTCCTTAGCAAGCCACATTAAAAATTCTGGTCCAGTTGTTTCATCTGCGCACGGAGGAAATGTCCCAACAATAGATTCTGCCCAGTGGAGTTCTAAGTAGCATCCAAGAGACAAATGAACAAAGGAGTTAATGCTGTCTACAGGATATATTTATTGTTTGGTGCCTTATGTCCTAGATCTCTCTTTAAGCAGCTGCTAAAAGGTAGCTGCTTGATGGAGAAGATATTTCAGACTGCAGCAGAGAACTCAGCTTCCAGGGACAAGCCAGTGAGATCAGTACATCCACGGGTAATATCTGAGACCTACCCCCAACACAAGAATTTGAGGGAACTTCTCAGATCTTTCCTCTACTAATGTAGGTGCACAGGAGAGGTTACCCAGTCCTTTTAAAACATCTGTCATGTATTGTGGTTGTATTTACCAAGTTGTCTACTGCTGAAAGTATTGGTCTTGCCTGACTGTTTTATGTACCACCTCAAAGAAGCAGGGATGCTGTTGACCTCATGAAACTTCATCAAATAAGAGCCCATTTCCTGGCAATGAAAGGTCCTAGGTCACATTGATTCAGGTAACCCAGTTTAAAAATTCACTTCAGATTGACAGATGACCAGTGCCATTAGAAACATAGCTCTTTGATTCAAAACTGTATTGAACCACTAATCTAGAGGATGTTTGTTAAGAAAACAAGTGCCACTAATGTGGCATAATGTATCCATTAAATTTGTAGAATTAATAATTTAAACTAACAAGGCAAACTCTCTGTCTTTTTCTCTTTTAAAAATACATATTTCTGTGTCCTTGCAGCATGCTATCTGAAGACCAGGACTGCACTTGGAGGATATCATCATGTAAATCTCAGGAGGGGAAAAAGAAGAGAAGGATACCCTTCATTCCAGACTGCTAGATTTGACCCTACAAGTCTTCAGAGGCATGTTGCTGGTGGATTAACTGATAGTCCAGTTAGTTAATCAGCATGGCGTGACCAGGTTTTCAAAATTATTTATTTATAAGAAATCTCAGTATAAAGCAACATTTTCTCTTTTACCCTAATGTATAATGAGATCCTTCCCTAACAACTCCATTTTCTTTCTCATTTACATGGAATGTATGCTGGATACATGATGTTCCCTGGCTGACCCTAGCCAGACAAAGCCAACATATCTAGACTGTTTATAGTGCACAATATAAGACCTGATGCACAGCCTGCTGAAGCTAGTAGAAGAACTCCTGTTGCCTCCAATGGGTTTTGGATCAGGCCATTAAGGATTTTTTTATTACTTTAAAATAGTCTCAACATAACACAGTCATAAGCATGGGTTTGTGATTTTATCCTGTTATGTGATTTTATAATGCCGTGGGCATACACTGACTCAGCGGCTGCTTTCTTCTGCCATTCTCTGCTTTTAGGTCTTTTACCTTGGATTTTTAACCACCTGGGACCGATTTCAATCACTTCATTATTAAGAGACACTCTTCTTCCATATTTTTCTTAATGATTTATTTTTGTTTTGTTGTCTTTCATTGTTGAACTCCCTTGACTTAGCTCCAGTCCTGCATTAAAGTTGCACTGATCATATTTTCCTCTTTCAACTTCACGTATGTAAAAAAGTTCCTATTTTTTTATCTGACAAAAGATCTTTTTAAATAGATGTTCTTCTTCATCCCTTTGTTATTGTTCCTCTAGCAAGTCACATAGTTTCATTGTGTTTTGCTTTGTTCATGTCTTATTTTGTTTAGTTCATCTTCTCATCTTGCTATGAATAGTCTATATATCAATGCAGTTGGAGATGGACAGACTTTTGTACCCTTACATAGTTACACACACTCTTTCTGATCCTAAGACATTACTCTGTGAACAGCAGGTTCACATACAGGTTACAGTATTGATGGCCTCTAAATTACTGCAGTTTCTTGATACCTTAAGAAAATTTAGCATGGGACAGCTGTTTTTTATTAGCTAAAAACTGTTTGAAAGAATATATTTGTTTGTCACACAAATATTCCATGTTAAAAGGAGTAAGCTCTGGCAAGCATTAAGACCGAGGGCTACATCTTCAGCAGTTGTTGCTCCATTTGCTTTAATTGTTACTACATCTTCAAGCAAGCTATGCTAACTTATGCTTACTTTCCTTGCACTAACATAAATCTCGACTGACTACCCAGAAATGCGTGGGGGTTTTGCAGGTGCAAGTGAGAAAAGAATCATGCCTGGCAGGAGTACAACTACCTATTAAAAAAAAAAAAAAAAAGTCTCCCAGAAACCTTTACTTGTTAAAGCATATGCCTGGAAGTAGCATGTATTTTCTGTGCCTTGATACTATACTTTTAATGTGCTTTTTCGCTTTTCTTTCTGCCAAATCCTGTTTTTCATTAAAGTCAGTGATGCATCACATATCCTTAATTACTCCAGTATAAAACTTAATGAACACTGGTGAAATCAGTTGATTTCTTCAGCACTTACACTGATCGAATTTTTCCACATGGGAATCTTGCCACTGATTTTGATGATCCCAAGAACTGGCTGTTCTGTGAATTCTTCTTCAGTTTTTGGATACTATTCCAATGGTCTGATATGTCTTGTGGGACTTTTAGTAGCTTGCCTTATAACCAAATATGATAGAACTGTCATTGAGAAGTGGAATAAAATTACTTTTAATTCATGTCCATTCTGGTACGTGGAAAGTGTCTTTCATAAGTTTTGTTGCCTCTTCTATTTTAAAGAGCAATATCCCTTTTTCTAAAGCCTTGGACAGTTTCAGAGTGAAGTGAATCAAAACAAAAACATGATTTCTGACCAACGTGATACTGTACAATCAGTCTGTACTGCAGCTAGTACATTCAGAAGTTACTAGAGGTCATCTAATGCTCAAAATATCAGCAAGGTAGGCTGGTAGGCTCTTTGCTTCATTTTCAAAATAGCATCCAGAAAGAGTTTTGAGGCCTTTTCAGAATTGTCCCTCAGTGGTCTCTTTGGGGCTTTCCTACCATGAGAGGGAAAGTGGTCAAAGGAGGCTTCTCAGCAGGTAACAGAGGTCAGATTTCCACCACCTTGAATCAAAGCTGGCATCAAAGTAAACACCACTGTATTGCTGTAGTAATAGTTTTCTATGTCAGTGTACTGAAAATCAAAGTGTGTACAAAAAAAAAGTGCTTCATCCTTCTGCAAAATAATAAACTTCAGTACTGTAAACTAAACCACAGCTAGAGGTGTGAGAGGAGAAAAAAATTTCCAAAGGTATGTGGGCACTAGAAGATAGGGCTAAGCAACTTGAAGTATTTTTTTAAAGTGCCTAACAAAGATTTAGATCAATAGAAGCTAGACACCTGACTTGTTCAGATGCTTTTGAAAACCATACTGGAAATCTAACTTGCATCTTGGTGCTCATAAATATCTTTGAAGTCTCGCTCTTAATATAATTGAGAATTGAGCCATTGTATTTTCAGTGCTTCTGAAGATAAATGTTGCTACCTTACAGTGCTATTGATTGGTATAAAAATAAAGGCTTTATATTAAACCACTTAATGTGACAGAGAGGGGAAAATGCAGCAATTCCTCTAATGTCCTTTAGTGCTTCTATATCATAGGTAGTCTTATTTTTGCTTTACTAATGTACCGGTATCTGTTCTCTTAATTTATGTTGACATAAATTTTCAACCATGTTTGAGAAATGCAGTCAAGCGCGCAGCTTGTGCTGGAAATTAATATCTTCCCTGTACAACCAAATCATTCTGTTGTAGGTATGATAGACCTATACAAAGTGAGGTATCAAAAATAGGGAAGCTAAATGACATTTTACTGCCCAAATCAGCAAGACCCCTGATGACAGCAGTGGATGTGGAAGGCAGAATGCAGTTGTCTGTCTGAGGAATTAGTGCCTGCTTTTTATTTTAAGTGACACACAATCAAATTTCATTATCTGTGACAGCCTCTGGAAATTACCTGCTCTTCATCACCATGCATCTAGATTTCAGTTTGGCCCATTTTTATTCTGCATTGCAACTACCATTTTTTGGCGGGGAAAAAAAAAAAAAAAAAAAAGAGCTGTCATATGTATGTGCTGCATTATATTATTTCATGAAATTGTGAGGGGGGAAAAGCGGTAAAATGTATTTCAGCTCAACATCTGTGTCCTGGGCAGGTGAACAGTCTTCCTTCCACAAAGCTGCTCTAGGCTTCCATTTTTTGATGCAGTCTTCCTGCATGCTGAACGCACCAACTAATGCCTGAAGCCCAGCTTTCTTTTCCTTTCTGCATGTATTACAGGCAGAGACAGATGGAAACTTGAAATTGCTGGCCTCAGCTCCTGGATCATGTTAGCATCTTTCGCTTCTTACAGGGCAGCTGCATTCTGCAAAACAGCAGTGTGCATGTATCTTGATATGTAACCCTAGAAGAGGGCTTCTAAATATAAGAGGAGTTTCTTTGCTGCCATATGAAGGGGGTCAGCCAGACACTTAAACAACATGCAGTATATGTTTCATCAGATTGCACAGCAAAAAAAAAAATCAAGGGGACAATATGAAATTCAATTCTTAGTGTGCCTCCCTGCAGGCATATCCAGGAGTTTACAGCTTGTGACTTGAAGATCAGCACTGGCTCTTCAATCGATGTGTTTGTAACCACAATTCATGAACAATGTGGCTTGAGGCCCCAGAAGCTGTTGCTTTGGTACCTGTATCTTCGGATATGTGCTCACAGTGTGAACTGTGTTCTGCCTCTCAGCCTGGAGATAGGTTGTATCTGATTGCTACCACAGTGTTCATCACTGTCAGAATCAGTCCAGGTGCATCTGCTGGAGCAGTGTGCAAGCACTTCTCTCTAGGCTCATTTCCTTACCTGGACCCTAGTTTTGTCTACCAACTATTTAAGGTGGATTTTGTTACTGATTTGCATCAGTTGGGGAGAGACTGGGTCATCTTCCCAGTTAGTTTTTACTTTGAGTGCATTGTGCATGCACACATGCACAAGAGGATGCATTTGAAGGACTGGATTCCCCAAGGCAAGTAAGATTTAAATACAAAGAAAGTCTCTGGATTGATTCAGGGCCAAGCTGCTAAGTCACATCCTGGTTACCTGACAGCTGTTCAGGAGCCTTTATAGAAAGTGTTGTTTTGTGGAGGGAAGAGTCTGTATCGTCAAACCTTCATTCCTGATAATGGGGTGAACTAAGAGGAGGTTGAACAGATGTGGAACGTACCCTGATTTTGGAGGAGATACCTCCAAGCAGAGTCAGAGATGTCAGAAGGCCTGTGCAAGGTAGTCTGCATGGCTGCTGCCTAACCTGCAGCTCTTCCGAGACTGAGCCCTCAGTCTTTCATGAGCAATACCTTCAGGCTGACACACAACTTGAATGTTGGTTTCCTCTTACTATCCTCCTATCTCCAATCTCACTTTTAATTAGTAGGTCTCTGAAGGCGTGCAACTGTTATGTTGGAGTACAGGAGTGGAGAAGGGATGCAGTGGTCTATGAGTGATTTTTATGCACGCTCACAATTTTCCACTTCCCAAGCACAACGGCATGTTCTGCATGTACAGCAATGGTATGTGTCCCTGAAATGTGAGTGAGCCTTTAAGGAGGCTGCCCAACTTCCTCTGCATCACTCCCTGGCAGCCTGGCAAAATGGGCTAAATTCAGAAGTGACCTAAAAGGAGGAGGGGGTTTGGAAACAGATCACTTGGCCAATGTAATGATGAAGGAACAAACTTGGGAGCCCAAGGTAGAAATTAAGGTTATAGTAAGAAATTGAACTGGAAAGTTTTTGCAGTTAAATTTATCCTATCTTGAACTCTATGAGAAGTTCTGCTGCTGCTACTGCCTAACTCACTCCCCATGGCACAGAAGCTACAAGAAGCACTTGCTCACATGTTCTTTATGATGTGATTTATGGCGTGTCTGAATTTGATCTACCAGCTCATGACTGAAGATGGCTCTTCTGTTTTTGTCATATCTAGCTGTAGGGCTGAGTCAGCTTCCACTTCACTTGCAATGACTTCGGCTAAATAAGCTTGCATCATGTCAAGGAAAAAGAACTTTGCCTGATACCAATGGATTCGTCAGGACTTTAAACTGCACAGTCTGAGACTTTAGGCCACTGTATTTCTTTTTCAATACATACTCTGGGGTAAGAGAAGGGGAAACTCCACTGAAGTTAAGGGATGGACACCAGAGCAGGCATTTTTAACCAACTCCAGGAGATAATCCGAACAGTGAAAATGAGATTCTGGCCTAGAGCAGAAGTGGTTGGTGACTTCCATCCCCTCTGTGGGGCTAGCACAGGAGTTTAGCTTTGACTTTTTGTGCCTGAAAGGTTTGTAAGGCCATTCTTCACTCCATTTGATCAAAGACATACATTCCCCTAACACAGGTCTCTCCTGACCTCAGACCTATCCTGTTTGGTCCTTACATTCTTTAAAAATGAGTCAGCTGATGAAGAAAGAAGGTAAGTGATATCTTCAAGGGGGTAGAATGACTCAGTAGTAAAGATGCCACTTCACTTGACCCCTCAGCCTGTACAGCATTGAAAATGCTCTGTCATAACTGTTAAAACTTTGACAAAGTCTGCTGAGTCTCATGATCTTACGATCCAAGAACCAAAATGCCTTAAAATTATTTTCTGAATAAGATGCTCTGTGTGAATTTTAATAGTCAAGCCAGGTCTAGTTCCTGTTTATTGAAGAAGGCAGGTATGAGTAAGGGAAAAAGGAGCTGACCTTTGCTTGTGGCTAGTGACATGATAAATAACACAGAAACCATATGGCTCTTCATATCCTGCAGGTGTTTTACAAGCATCTCCTTTTAAAACCTCACATTGCCCTGTGAGGTGGTGTAGCATAGTCGTGACACCTGATAAAGCATTTAATCATTTACTTTTATCTTATTTCATGGCCTGGGGACAGTCTGAAAGTGGACTGTGCTTTTTTTTTTTATTTATTCCCAAGGGAATTCTTTCCTCAAAATTATTCTGTTTTATTTTCCCTTGATCCTTTTATCCTCCAGACTTCCATTTGCAATTCAAACTGCTGTTGGGATGCACCACACAATTTCCAAAATACACTTACTTTACCTGCGCAGACGGCCACAAATCCAAGGTCATTCATGCTGTTGGTGTGATTGCTAATACCAAAATTTCGTATTTGTTTTTGTGATGTCTAAATTTAATGTTTACTTAAGGTGAGTATTTCTTTCTTCCATGGAAATGTGGGTAATGAACACAAGCAGAGTCCTGAATACACCGGAACAAAATAATCTGCAGTTCTGAATTCATATTTAACTAAAAAATTTTGCAATATTCACCCAACCTAGCATCACCTTCCTTTGGTTGATAGAAAGCTAACAGCTAAAGGCAAAAGTGATTGAGAGACTTCTTGAAGGTCATGCTGGCAATTAGCGTGAGAGGCAGGCGGGAGATTTTTATCTAATTCTTTCTCTCCTTCTCAGTGAAAGTGCTTATATTCACTATTTTTGGGCATCCCCCAAAATTGTAAGGCAATGTACACAGCTAAGCATCTAAGGAACAAATTATTCCAGTACCAATGTCAGGAGTGCTTAGCAAAGGGCTAAGCCTAAGTGGCCTGTCACTGTGCGTGTTCCCCATCTGAGAGATCTGTCAGCTTAGAAAACTAGAGAAGGTTGTCGTGATAAATTAATTCAATGGCAAGTGAGGC